TCATCACATTTTTATAGTACTTTATCAATTAGTTTTTTCAAAAAAAATAAATAGTTTAAGTTTGAATTTTTATCGATTCGATGACGACAGTTTTGCGAACGTGCGTCGAAGACAAATGGGGAATTATGGTATGTGGTAGAGTTGGTAAACTAGGCGCTGTTGAAAATTAAATTAAACGCTCCAGAACAGCTCTTGGAACCGTCAAAGACCTAACTTTGCTCTGCCTATTTCGTGTTTCCTTAATTGGTTACTCAAATATATGTCGATCGCTATTATTTCAACCGAATTAAGAACACTCTGTATAAATACAGCCCTTTATTTTTACACTTTGATAAACACTAACAATTCAAGCGAGAAAAGATGAATATTTTTAGAAGCGAACCCCACGTCAGGGCAACTCCCAACCCGTCCAAAACAACGTTCAAAAATTTAAGAAAATTATTAAAAAAGCTTCCAAAATAGTGAATTTTTTTAAAAACCCTTTTCTCAAATCTTTAAATTTTCAAACACTAGGGAAAATTGGCGAAAATTTTAATTAGAACTCAAGGAATCATCAAAATTTTCAGAAATTTACATTGTATCAAAAAAATCAGTCAGTCTAAAAAAGAAAAAAATATCAACAAAAACTTGATTATTAAAAAAAATCACACTTTGATTAAGTCAATCAGAATTATTTATAATCCCAAAAATCTGGAGAAAATCGAATTTTGTTTTTTTTTCAGAAATTCTTAAACATTGAAGGAAGTAATTAAAAAAGCTTTTTTAAAATACCAAAATTAATAAATAGAATTAGAACATGCACGTTTTTGTACGCTTTTGCATTAGAGATAAATAAAAATAAATAGAAAAAATACAAAACATTCCAATAATTTTGAAAAACATTTATATTAAACCTTTTTTCTTAATTTCAAATGAAATATATAATAATAATCTCGTGAACAAGTGAAAAGTGTGTCAAAGCAAAAAGTTATTGTAATTAACCGATTTTTACATCAGGACAAATTGTCAAGAATTAAAAATATTTTCAAAACACGTAAAAAGAATTTTTTTCAAATTTTACGAAATCCAACTGAAAATACTCAAATTTAACCAATTTTTTCACCATTGGTAAAATCGGACAATTTTAATTCCTCATAAAACCCCGGAAACACCTAGAACTCACCAGAATTCCGTAAAAATAT